TGTGGCCCAACTCCATGGAAGCCTAGAATAATTCAGATTGGAATAGATGTCATCTTGGCATAAATAAGCTCAGTACTGATATCCGCTCGAGAATTGGGAGCACGGCAACAAACAATTCACTGATTGTTGTGCCACGACACGTAGACAAAAGACAAGGATATAGTACCTAACAATCCTAACGAACGAATATTTACCGACAGTAGAGATGGCTCAAGTATTCCATTCAAAGCGTAGTGGGTGAGGGAAAATGTGAGGGAGAGATGGACTAGCTACAGGACAAACATGGAGGGGACCACAAAATTAGCAAGGAAAGGAACCGCTGCAAAACCCTAATTATGGGATGTATAAATTGCAAACGATACCGATGTGTAGAGATATGTTAAAATGAGACCAACCAGTAGTAACCTATAAAACACTCTGAAAAAAGGCATCCATCCAAATCTCTTGTAACAACATCCTTCTCCCCTAAGCAATACAATTCTCAAGGAGCAAGAGCCTCCCTAATAGTGGATGTAACCTTAGTCCTTCGGCTGGAGTGAACCACTCATATTTCTATCTTTGTACCTCCTTCAACACTAAGCACGTTTTCTATCATATAAACACATACCCATTCCCTCTGGGCCTCATCCCAAATTGTTCTGTAATTGAGTAAGTAGATTTCGAGCACCATCAGCTTGTCGCTGTTTGTGGGAACGATTTTCATCATTTCTTACTAAGTTTCCTCTGTACACTTTTGGTTTGATGGTTTCCACTTGAAATATGAGCAAGTCTCAAACAAATCTGCAAACCCTACAGAACCAACTGGGAAACCACCCGATCCCGACGATAAATGTTAAGAATGACCCTCTAGCGGCGGACCTAGCTCCTCTCAATGAGCTGGAGATGTACCATCAGACCATAATGCAATTGATGAAATAGAACAAGGATCTCGTAGCATGGATTCAGACGCACCATCTCCCTCAGGCCCCGCTAGCGCCTCTTACACTGCCACCGCAACCAATTCAAAATGATGTTCCTCCTCAGGATCGCCAAATACCATTGCCTAATGGGGTCACTAACCTCCATGACCATAGCCACTCAGAAGAGAACAACCATCGAAGACATCTAGAAGAATGAACAAATGACAAGGCCCAAAGTTGGGCCAGAGCCATAACAAGAGAGGACAGTCTTCCATCTCCTCAACATGACGCCATAGACCAATTCTGGGAACAAAGCTCTCAAGAAATCCAATAGGACCTAGGAAATTTCAAGGAAGTGGTGAAAGGAAAAACCCCTATCACCATGGATGCCCTGGTTCAACAAACCGAGTCTCCATTTGCCATAGAAATTCTACATTTTCCTCTACCCTAGAAGTTTCGAAAGCCACAAATAAAGGCGTTCGACAGGACTAAGGGCCCCGTATAACATCTCAACTCATACAAAAATCATATGGAACTCCACAAGTATCCTAACCCCATCGGTTGCCAAGCTTTCGCCACAATCCTTAAGGGGTCGGCGATAGCATGGTTTAGCAGACTATAACCATCATCAATTTCTTCTTTTCGAGAACTCTTTATTTAGTTCGTGTTCCACTTCATTGGGGCATGAACTTATCAAAAACCATCTTACCATATTTTAAGCATCAAGCAGGGACCCAATGAATCTCTCAAGAACTGTGTAAAGAGATTCAACTAGGAGTCCCTAAAGGTTGAGAATGTAGATGACAAGTTTGCCCTAACAACCTTCATATCTGGGCTCGACCTCCAATCCAAAGATTTGTTGTTCTCAATGACTAAAAACCCCTAGGCAACAATGGCTGAGGTCCTTGCCAAAGCCAAGAAGTATATAAACAGAGAGTATACACTTCACATGAAAGGAGGTTCGTCAACGTCAAACGAGGGTGAGAAAAAGAAAAGAGAACAGAGCCCGAGAAAGGAAAAAAGGCGGGATTGGTCCCCAAGGAAGGAAAGCGAACCATCCCCGAAGAGAAGGGAAAATGTCAAGGATTGTCTCGGCCTACCATTTCAGGAGCTTCAGCTTTGGTACGTACTAGCTTGGCTCACCCCCTAAATACCACCATCTCTCAGGTCCTCCAAGAGGTCTAAAACAATAGGTTCGTTAGATGGCCACCAAGGATGAAGTCAGACCCTCGAAGACGCGATCCCAACAAGTATTGTAACTTTCACAAAGACACTGGTCATGACACTGATGATTGTATCCAACTAAAAAAGAAAATAGAGTATCTATTTCAACAGGGCCATTTATGGTATTAGTTGGTAGGGGAAGTGAGAGATTGAAATGAATGAGACAAGGATGGCCGAGTTGTAGGTCCGCCCAACAGCAACACTATTATGCCCAGGGTGAGATAAGGATCATTTTAGGGGGCTTTTCTGGTGGAGGAGAGTCAAGCTCAGCGAGAAGAGCCTATGCTAGGAAGGCTAGGTCAAACAATTTTCTCGATATCTAGCCAGTTCGAAAAGCCCCACGCTAAGATCTAGAGATAACTTTCTCGGACGCTGACTTGGAGGGATGTCAGCTTCCTCAGGATGATCCTCTGATCTTGAAAGCCATCATCGCTAACAAGACTATATACCACGTCCTCATATATAATGACAGCTCGGCAGATATCATTTTTTTCCTCTACTTTTGAATAACTTATATAGACAAGTCAAAGCTTGAACCCGTGAAGACCCACGTCCTAGGCTTCTCGAGAGAGAGAGTCCTGCCTCTGGGATGTATCCAGCTAATCCTCACATTGCCACCATAGTTCGTTTCCTAGTGGTAGATACACCTTTTGCCTACAACGTTTTACTTGGTAAACCCTATCTCAACTCCATTAAAGCCGTCCCTTCGGTATATCACTTGGTCATGAAGTTCCCATAGAGATTGGAGTTGGGGTGGTGAGAGGGGATCAACGTGTCACTAGGGAATGCTATGTAGCATCCATAAGGCAGAAAGAGGTGGAATCTATTCATTTCGATGACTTGGACATGAAAGATGAGATCAAGACCCGACCTATGCCATCGGAGGCGCTAGAGCCGGTGCAGGTTGATGAAGACCCCAAGCATGTGGTCTTTGTAGGTTCTATACTACTTTAAAACATCAAAGAAAAGCTCATTCTTTTCTTAAAGGAGAACGTTGATGTTTTTGCTTGGAAGCAGGAAGACATGGAGGGAATCGATCCTAAAAAAATAGCTCATCGACTCAGTTTGGATCTAAGTTGCAAGCCCGTCAAACTAAAGAGGAGGAGCTTCGTCCCAAAGAGGCAGAAGGTTATCAATGAAGAAGTAGCCAAACTACTGCAGGCTAAAGTCATCAGAGAGGTCGATTACCCAACCTGGCTAGCCAAGGTAGTGTGGTCAACAAGGTTAAAGGAAAAGTGGCGCTTGTGCATTGGCTTTACTGATCTGAACCGCACATTCCCCAAAGATAGTTTCCCCTACCTCAGATGGACCTTATAGTCAACACCACTGTAGGGCACAAACTCCTCAATTTTATGAATGCCTTCTCCAGATACAACCAGATTAGAATGGATCCTAAGACCAAGAGAAGACTTCCTTTGTCATAGAGCAAGAGACTTTCTGCTATCAGGTTATGCCCTTTGGATTTAAAAACGTCAGAGCCACTTACTAGAGGCTGGCTAACCGAATGTTTCAAGAAAAGCTTTGCTCGACAATGGAGGTATACATTGACGACATGCTGGTCAAGTTTTTCAAGGCTCAGCTCCATATCCAGCATCCCCAAGAGTCCTACAAAGTCATGCGGCAGTATAAGATGAAGCTAAATCCGGCTAAGTGTAGTTTTGGGGTATCAGTTGAAAATTTTCTAGGTTTCATTGTCAATAGCAGGGGTATTGAGGCGAATCCAAAAAAAGTGCGAACCATTCTAGAAATGAAGTCACAGACTAACATCAGGGAAGTTCAACAACACACTGGGAGGATTGTGCCGCTCAATCGATTCGTCTCACATTCTAGCGATAAATTTCAGTCATTCTTCAAAGTTTTAAATGTCGTTTTCCAGTGGAATGAGAAATGTGAAGAAGATTTCCAAGCCTTGAAGGCTTACCTAGCTTTACCCATGATGCTGGTCATCTCGAGAGAATGAGAGATCCTGACTTTGTTCCTTGTCGTATTTGAATTTTCTATTAGCGCTGCCCTAGTAGAAAACAAGGAAAGGGTACAACAACTCGTTTACTTCTACAACAAAACCCTCAGAGGAGCTGAGGAGAGATACCTCAAGATGAAAAAGCTCGTCCTAACTCTTCTTGTTGCTACCAGGAGACTGAGACCCTATTTCCAAGCACATACCATCAAAGTCTCGACTGACCAATCCATGAGACAAGTGCTACACAAACTAGAGTTGTCCAAAAGATTAGTAAAGTGGGTAGTGGAACTCAATGCGTTTGATATCAAGTTCAAACCAAGAACATCAATTAAAGGCCAGGTACTGGCCGACTTTATTGCAGAATTCACCCTCTTGTTGGAAGACTAGCCTGAAAATCCTAATCTGTTCACAAACATCCCAGCTTCGAGTTTGTACATGGATAACACCTCAAATGCTCAAGGGAGCGAAGCTGACCTCATCCTAACCTCCCCTGAAGGCTATAGTCTCGAATACGTGTTGAGATTCAATTTTCAAGCTTCCAACAACGAGGATAAATACGAGGCCCTCATAGCGAGTCTTAACTTGACCTTGTAATGGAAGCACAACATATCATTATCCAAATTGACTCTCAGCTAGTGGTCAGACAAGTGGAAGAAGAATATGTAGTATAAGATGACAAAATGGCTTGTACATGAGGAAGGTTTGGAGCCTGCTTAGAAAATTTGTGGTCACCAAGTTCATACAGATTCCCTGAGAAACAAATAGCCGAGCCAAAGAACTTGCCAAGCTTGCTACAACGGCTCAATATGATCTTCCAAAGATAACACCTGTAGAGCTCCTGTTCAAGCCAAACGTCTAGCTCGACGAAGATCAAGTCATGCCGGTTGAGGAGAACGCATCATGGATGGATCCTATCATCACCTTACTACAGGAAGAGCATCTTCCATACAAGGAAGACTCCTAGGGTCTCTTCCTCTTCTTTCTTGAGGAGCTGGCAATGTCTTCTTTGAGACCCGTAAGAGAAGAGTCCTTATCGGTAGTAGGGGAGGGGCGGTCAAGGCAGCAGCAAGGGTGATAGTCGGATCGGGGCCAAAACCAAACCTAAAAAGGTTCTGAGCTATGACCATTGTGGAGAAGGAAATCGCCTCAGCCCGGCTAAACCAGTAGACTGTTGTGATCTTTTCAGGGGTCAGCCCAGTACCACCTACATCAACATGAAAAATTGTTAGTCTCAAAAAGGGTGGTGTAGGATAGGGGTGCCTTATAAACTCCGAAAGACAAACTATTTCCTTACCACTGTCCAAAATGAGTCCCCAAGAACGAGAAAATTGAGAATGATCCGTGCATGACCCATCAAATTCCTAAAAGTCCCTAGAAATGAAGAAAAAACACTACGACCACCCCTTAGGGGAGCCAAGTGTGGAGTACGACATGGGGACCTAAAACCTCTATGTGAACCGGTAATAGCTAGGAGGGAAGTCATCTTTGAATCGAAAGAAGTAAAGGAAGTCAAAAACGATAAGGAAGCATCATGAACGAGCATAAGCTAGAAAATAAAAAAATTCATGAGGATGTCACACCCCTATGGCGAAAGACGTGAGAGGACGAGCCCAGAGAAGGCTAGAATCCACCTTATAGACGGGTGAATGGGCAAATGAAGCCCCAACTCAAATGCACCTTCAAAAAAGAAAATGTCCCTTTAAAGAAAAAGGTTGTAAGGCTCATCAGGGGTGGGAATCCGAATGGTCAAACCCGTAGGAAAAAGGTATCACCTCCTAACTTCCTCCACATTAGCTACTATAACAATGCTAGGGAACAAAAAGATCACATACCCTGGATCTTCAATGAGAATACAAGCACGCTGCCTAAATAGAGAAATAGTAAAGGAAGCCATGAAGTTGCAAGATGAATACCACTCAAGGAAATGCAAGAAAGGGATAAATGTACGAAGACGGAAGATTTTTGAACAACGAAGTAGCCAACTTATGGAGCCAAAAGGGGTACCATTAGACTCCTTTAATAAGAAGGTTTTATGACAAAAGTCAATGTGAGGTGCTCAATGAAGACTTAAGTGGAGTGACGTAGACACGAAAATCGATAAATTTAACCACTTTGCTCTGAAAGGCGTATGCCTCGGATGCCCTAGAGAAGGTGAAAGGCTCAATGTCCATCTTAGCCATCCTAAAGTTCTAGACAGTATAGCTCGAGGAAGTATAGCTCAAGAACAGGGGACAAATGATGAAGGCACACTTGACAAGCTCAGGAATCATACCGCTCGATATAGTACACCTCGAGACAGTATAACTAGAGAACAGAGGGCACACTCAAGAACAGGGCCAAAGAAGGAAAACACACGTGAGCAGCTAGGCCAATCGAGTATACACAAAAGTGATCAAACAAATTTTAGAAACTCACAAATTTGACAAGATTATCAAAGATCATACTCCAACCAGGTCAAGACCTCCTTGGAGTAGGGGGCAGGGGGGATATTGAACATCTAACAACATCCAGAATGAACTAAAGAAGTTTTCATTCCACTTAAGGAGAAAGTTATATATATATATATATATATTATAAGCTTACTTACATTTCAAAAATTAAGCATATGTAGTAAGTGCATGGAAAAAAGAGGAAAAATGAGCAAAGAGCCTCAAGGCTTCGAGGAGGACATATGGGCATCGCCACCTCTAGAAGGAGGAAGGAATCGAGGTTCAAATTGGTCAAATCCAAGGTCAGAGAACTTATCAAGGGCTTGATCTTCTAAGTTGAAGAACACATCCACAAAGGCTTTGGCAACTTCCCTCTTTGCCCTCTCAATCTCCTTTCTTTGCTTTTTGACCAATCATAACTCTGAGCTTAGGGAGTCCTCTAGGTCGGCAACGAATGCACGGGATTAGGCTTGCTGGGCAGTCAGCTCCATGTTATCAGCTTGCAAGTTGACCAACTCGTCCAATTGCTGACTTAGCTAATCTTACAAATAGATCTCTAAAGTAGTGGCAGTAATTAATTGCCGAAAGACCTGAACTCTTTGCTCTAGAGCCGTCTCCAACTCAGCCTCTAGCCCTAAGCCCCAGTGTAACAGCTCGGAAAGCCTTGCCTTCCTCTTGTTGTCGTCCCCTCATATGATGGGTCTCCTTGCCAAACGTACAAACATGCGTCTCAACCTGAATCCAAGTTAAGTGGATAAGCGCTTGCGCGACTGAGGCCAGAGAAGGTGAAATCGATAGATCATACCTTAAGAAAAGCATGCAAGGAGTCCCGAGTTCTTGTCCTGAAAGGTTGGTTGATAGAGCGGTGGATGTCAACTTGAGAGATCAGTTCTATGAAGGCTTGACTACCTCTAGCCACGTCATCCAAAAGACTCACCCTAGAGCTACTGACTGCAACCAGCTCAGGATGCCTTCAGCTAGAGCCTTCTGTAGGCCTAGGAAAAGACCTGCATCAAACTGGTCCCACCTCTGGACTATCCTCGACAACCCTTGTCCTTTTCTTAGAAGGACCGGGGGCCCGTGTTGATCTTTTTTGACCCACCTACTCCATGATCACATCCCTCCCGCTGACTTGGTACGTAAGGACTAAAGAAGCAAGACAATCAAAGTAGAAGATTAGGAAGATTTATTAAAGACGATGCAGTCAAACCTTATAAGGATACTGGGCACCTATGGCTTGAGATGTCAGATGAGCTAGGCCCTATCAACATGGCATAGGAGAAAGGCAATTAAACCTGAGCTTGATCAACCCAAACTTGCGCGTCCCCACTTAAGCTTGGGTATTCATCTGTAAAAAAACAAAAAACAAAAAAGAGAAACAAAATTAGAGCCCTAGAAGCACAAGATGGCCAGTTTGGTGGAGGAAAACTCACCAAGGTGGGGGAACTCACCAAGATAAGCATGTCGTCCCAAGAATGTGAGAACCTGAATTGACGAGATCACCTGGGATGCAAACTCCCAGCCTGTTCCAGACACAAAAAAGTACCTTCGCCTCCAACCTTCAAGCTTGGGAGGAAGATCAGAAATAGGGGTTTCTCCACCTCTTTTCCCCAGAAAACAATAGAGCCCAGACAGCTCCACGGGATGAAAAAGTTTGAGAAAATCTAACAAAGTAGCACACGGTTGCATAAATAGATGTTCCCACAAGACCGAGGACACCAAAAGAATAGCCCAACCAGCCGGTAATAGCATGGTTGGACAAAAGCTGAAGAAATATAGAACCTCCCTCACAAATGGAGGAAGAGGAAACCTAAGAACCAATTGGAAAGGAGCCTCGAAAAAGCAAACCCAACTAGCCAAGTACCGGTGATAAGGATCATTGTCTACAGTATGAACCGTTACCCCACTGGGAAAATCATATTAGCTAGATAAAGTCTGAGCCCCCGCCGCATCGATCTCATTGACTTCGACATCTGGGAAAATCTCCCTTTAGGTTTCGTAGTCAAAAGCAAAGGTTTGTACCATGGCGAAAATTGAAGAAAGAGGTTCAGAAGATCGAAATAGGAACTTAAAGAATGAAGAAGAAATCACTCAAGCACAAGAGACGAGAGCTTGTGAATGGAGTGTGCTATTTAAAGGGATTTTAGGCGATACACATCCCTTAAGAAAGAAGTAATAAATGCTCATCTATCGCATTGATTGCATTGGCCACGTGTCGCAAATCAGGGGAGTGAACGCTACTTTTGAGGAGTCAACCATATCTCCATAGGCACATAGCCTTAACTGAAAAAAAAAAAAAAGAACCCGTTAAACTTGGGACACACTAAAAGATAGGGCGAAAATTCTGAAATATCCTTGATAATAAAGAACAACTCGGGAGTGATTTCCCAACTTGAAACTCATGCAAGGCAACCTTGGCACAAGCAAGACTACGAGCACAGAAACCAACTCGGCATATCACCACCACAACGAATGAAAGTGAGTGCAAATCAAGAGAGCGAAGTCACCCCATATAACCCTCCAAGGCTAAGAGCCAAAAAGAGTGCAAAAAAAAGAAGAGAAATGAAAAAGAAGATAAACAACGAAGCATACAAAAGTCGTCCAGGGAAAAAGGGATGGTACACAGAGAGCGTTGTAAAACAGGAACAGAGTTTTGGATACACAAGCTTGATATGAAGAACAAAATACAATTCACCACACTATCCAACAATTCAAAGATAGAAATTAAGCAGCGACTTCCTCGGCCTCTTAGGTATGCTCAGCAGTACCTTTCTCGGTAGCTTCCTTGGGCTTCAATGCTTCAATCTCCGACACAAAAGAGTCCAAGTCAAGGTTGGGATATGTCCACTCGACCTGATCCTGGAAATTCATGAACTCTTGCACAAATGCAAAAGCGTTCGCGAGGAACTTAGAAATCTTCTCATCTCAGGACTTCAGCTCTACTACTTTCACCTTTAGCTCCTCATCCTTCGCCTTCAACTCGGAGTCCTTTCACTTGAAAAAGTCCCAAAAAAGTGTCTAGATCGGCATAAGCTCTTTTCATATCTGCCAACAAGGCAATCAGAACAATACTCTTCTCCTCAACTTGGACTTTTCCCTCCTTGGCAGCATCAACGACATCCAATGCCCCTCCCAACTCATGCTCCTTTGCTGCTAGGTCACCTTTTAGCTACCGTTCGATGAGTTTGATCTTCTCAAGTTTAGAACACAAGGGAGCCTACTCAAAAGACTAGCCAAGCAATTCACTCGAAATACGCCTATGATGAAACTCCATCATCTTGATACATGCCAAAGCCTAACAACAGAGGCACATACTATAAAATAGAAATGGGGAGAATCCAGAAATAATATTTTAAAGGGGGCAACAAGATAGCACAATACCTTGGCCAGGCCTTGGATTACGTGTTTGGTCTTTCTTCCAAAGTAGACCTTCGTAGCCTCCTCGAGGTTCGAGGTGGGGACCAACTCGACCAATGTATCCACAGCTGCGGTAGGATCACGTAGGAACCCACTACCTTGCGTACCTTCCTTGGGGGAGATCCTGTTCAACCTCTCTTCCTTTAGAGAAGTTCTACGGATGAGGAGCTAGAGCCATCCCGATAAGCTCGGCTCATTTAGCCATNGAAAAAAAAAAAAAAGAACCCGTTAAACTTGGGACACACTAAAAGATAGGGCGAAAATTCTGAAATATCCTTGATAATAAAGAACAACTCGGGAGTGATTTCCCAACTTGAAACTCATGCAAGGCAACCTTGGCACAAGCAAGACTACGAGCACAGAAACCAACTCGGCATATCACCACCACAACGAATGAAAGTGAGTGCAAATCAAGAGAGCGAAGTCACCCCATATAACCCTCCAAGGCTAAGAGCCAAAAAGAGTGCAAAAAAAAGAAGAGAAATGAAAAAGAAGATAAACAACGAAGCATACAAAAGTCGTCCAGGGAAAAAGGGATGGTACACAGAGAGCGTTGTAAAACAGGAACAGAGTTTTGGATACACAAGCTTGATATGAAGAACAAAATACAATTCACCACACTATCCAACAATTCAAAGATAGAAATTAAGCAGCGACTTCCTCGGCCTCTTAGGTATGCTCAGCAGTACCTTTCTCGGTAGCTTCCTTGGGCTTCAATGCTTCAATCTCCGACACAAAAGAGTCCAAGTCAAGGTTGGGATATGTCCACTCGACCTGATCCTGGAAATTCATGAACTCTTGCACAAATGCAAAAGCGTTCGCGAGGAACTTAGAAATCTTCTCATCTCAGGACTTCAGCTCTACTACTTTCACCTTTAGCTCCTCATCCTTCGCCTTCAACTCGGAGTCCTTTCACTTGAAAAAGTCCCAAAAAAGTGTCTAGATCGGCATAAGCTCTTTTCATATCTGCCAACAAGGCAATCAGAACAATACTCTTCTCCTCAACTTGGACTTTTCCCTCCTTGGCAGCATCAACGACATCCAATGCCCCTCCCAACTCATGCTCCTTTGCTGCTAGGTCACCTTTTAGCTACCGTTCGATGAGTTTGATCTTCTCAAGTTTAGAACACAAGGGAGCCTACTCAAAAGACTAGCCAAGCAATTCACTCGAAATACGCCTATGATGAAACTCCATCATCTTGATACATGCCAAAGCCTAACAACAGAGGCACATACTATAAAATAGAAATGGGGAGAATCCAGAAATAATATTTTAAAGGGGGCAACAAGATAGCACAATACCTTGGCCAGGCCTTGGATTACGTGTTTGGTCTTTCTTCCAAAGTAGACCTTCGTAGCCTCCTCGAGGTTCGAGGTGGGGACCAACTCGACCAATGTATCCACAGCTGCGGTAGGATCACGTAGGAACCCACTACCTTGCGTACCTTCCTTGGGGGAGATCCTGTTCAACCTCTCTTCCTTTAGAGAAGTTCTACGGATGAGGAGCTAGAGCCATCCCGATAAGCTCGGCTCATTTAGCCATGGGCTCACTCTTGGATGGTGACTAGATGAGCTCGCCTCCTTCTACTAGTTGTCCATCTTTGGATTGTGGCTCAAGAGGTAAGGAAGGAGGAAGGAAGAAGACCTCTCTTCCTCATGTTTATGCCCCAAGGTGGTACCCGCCGACGTCTACTTTTTCGGAGAAAGGAGCTCAGAAGTTTTCACTAGCTTCCTCCTCTTTCTCTTCCTCTCATTAGTAAATGTCGCCATAATGAGGTCAAGATCCATCTAGTTGAGAGACTCCACAGGCAATGATTCAGCTGTCTGGGTAGGTAATGTCTCCATAAGGACACCGAGCCCGTACTCCGCAAACTTCTCCTTGGTCACCAAAGCAGAATAAGACTTAAGTCCATAGAATTTAGCTAAAGCCACCCTCCTAGCCTCCGAAGTGTCAAGGGAAGGATAAAAACCTACACACAAACCAAAAGTCAAGCTGAAAACCACAAAAAATTTATAGTCAGTGGACAGGTATTCAATTTTCACTCTTACATGTGTTACTCGGGATCCCCCAAGACCAAGGAGTACAGGGAATATCACCAAGCACTCTCAACAAATCCTAGGAATCTCCCCAAGTGAAGAAAAACTTTGGCTTCCACCCTTTGTTAGAAGAAAGAAGCCCTGATATTTAAACTATTTGTCATCACCCACTTGGCAAAATAGAAAAAGCCCAATGTCAAAGAAGATTTAAGCTGAAAAAGTGAGCGAACTCACAAATAATAGGTGGAGAAGTGTTACCACTATCATGATAGTGAACAAGAAAGTCGACCATTAAGCCCCAGCCGTTCAGAGAAACCCAAGTTGGACACATGTTATAGAAGGTAAGGATATCTTGAATAAAGAGATGAACGGGGAACCTAAGACCAACACGAAATGCTGAAGTGAAGAAACAGGTCATTCCAGGTATAGGGGAATTACATCTCTCATTTTTCCTAGGAGAGTGGAGTAGAACAGAAGCAAAAAAATAATACTCTTCCCCTCAGGGCCTCCAAGTCATCCACTTCAATGCGGCTCGAGGTCGACTCAACACAACAAGTAA